CAAAAATGCCTCTCAGATACTGACCGTTTTTAACATGAACATGGTAATCAGCAAAATGGAATCAAACCAAGTTTTCAAATTTTCTTCTATTTATGGAACATTTGGTTTGGAATTTTCTTCAACGATATCACCTTATTTATGGGTGTTGCCATTATGTTCCACTATTTTCATGTGGAAAATATTTTACAGCGGAAAACTTTTTGGCACCACTCAAAGGTTTCTGATTCTATTAATGTGTGTTGATGTTTTATATACGTTGTTTACGGGAATCCGTGATGGACTTTTAAAATACATGGACATGAATTATGGATTCATAGAATTCAGGATTTGTAGATTCATAATTATATCTACTGTTGTGTTACAAGTAATCCATTCGACATCCCTTCATCTAAAGTGTCTCTTTACATTAACACAGGCCCTGTTATTTGTATTTCCAATGAAATTCAAATTTTATTTCGGTAGATTTAAGATATTCCTTTCTTTTTGGTTTTTCATTCATGTCATTGTTTGTAGTTTACAATTTATTGTTCCGATCAGCACACCACTAGAATCTGTTCGAACTGTACAGGAATTTTTCCCAGGGCAACCTTTAAAAATTATCAATGCTTGCAAACCCAATTTTATTCTTACAGATGACACATGGTATTTTATTTCTGACGCAGACAATATTGGTTTCTTAAGTATTAATGTTATCTATTTTAGTTTACTGCCTATCTTTATCAACAGTGGATGCGTTATTACATTATATATTGTAATGAAAAAACATATAAAAGCTTTAAAAGTATTAATGGCTGGTAGATTCATGGCTCGTAAAGTCAAGTATCTGCGTCTACTTAAAGTCAATATGCTTTTTGGAAGTTCTTTCATTTTGCAAGAGCTTCCAATTGTTATTTTAAAAGTCTATCTGAATTTATTCCCAAAAACCATGGATGACACTTTCCCTTATTCCTCAGTTTTTCTGATGTATATTTACATCTACTTTATCTTTGCATTTAGTAAACCAGTTGAAATTTTCATTTATGCGAGTCAAAGTGAAACTTTCAGAGCACAGATCTCAAAATGTTTACGTTTAAGGTAAATGTGAAAAAACGTCGGAGTTATGGTCTGTCATATCTTTCGAGTTCCTGCCCCTATAAGCTTTTGTTGGCTCTTTTTTTCTGGACTCAGTATTGATGTTGATTTTAGGTTTTAATATTCGAGTGTGCTTTCATATTGCAAAGTAAAGCTTTTACAAACATGAAGAGAAGCAATGATATGTACTACTATGAATAGAACCACCCAAGGAGGGAAACACCTTCTTCCTTCTGAGTAGAACCCAGTCACACCTGAGTTGGTCAATGAAGCGCATTGAAGTGGTAAAATTTTCCGTTTGGATGGAACGTTTTGAGCTATCTTAAGACACGCCCATTTCTTTAGAAAGAAAAAAATCGGTCAAATGATTCAATCGAATACCTGTGGAACAGGTATTCCATAAATATAGTAGCCAATCAAATTGACGGTCTGCATAAACACCGAGTAAGCACGTGTTCGACCGATACATGTGTTATGCTATCTCCAATAAACATGATAAAATCATAATTATGTACAAATTCGTTGCAATGCGTATTTTACAAAAGCGGGGACTCTCTATATAGTTTTTTTCTTATTTAAAAATCTTCAATTTAGTTTAACTCATGTTGTTTGTCGCGGAAAGTGGAGTGCCCTAAAATATTACGACGAATATTTCTTTCTCGTTTCTAAAGAAATGGGCGTGTCGTTATGTTATAATTGACGGTCAAAGCATGACTTAGAACGTTTCATCTAAATGGAAAATTTTACCACTTCAATGCGCTTCATTGTATGTAGTTGTATCTAGTGTACACGTTAGCTGCGAAAAAAATACTAGACACTTAAGACATTAATCAGACCTCTAACTTTGTAAATAAGCGTTATTTTAATTTGTTGTCTGAATTTCGTTACTCTCGAAAATTTTTCACATTTTACCAGTGGAGAGCTGCAACTTTCTGTTCTATACTTGGCACTTACGGCCCTTGAGTAGTGAGGGGACTTCTTTGTTCTAGCAACTTCTGCGACACGGAACCTTAGTTTATACGGTCTCATCCGAAGGATCGATCTCCACGTCCCAAAGTGATATTCGAACCCATGACGTTATTTTCAATTCCTTTTCTCATTGAGCAGACGCTCTCATCATTGCGCCACGATGGCGACTAAACGATATTTAAAACGATTTAAGGTAAGCTGAAGCATTTAATCTGTCAATCACATGGCAAACAGTAAGAAGACGTGTAAGCTGGAGATAGACAGAGTTTTAGTACAGTCAAACTGTTAATTTGAAATTATACATTTGGCTGAAGGAGTAAACAAAATTGAACTTCTAATCAAGCTCCAAGCTGGACTTCAGTTTTAATGTCGCTTTGGGACAAAGTACAAATAAAGTGTAATTAATAACAAAAACTGATACGTTTAGTTTTATCAGACATTTTATTGTTTGCAATTTTAGTGCATTTTCAGATCATGCAACGTTACACAGTGTAATCATATATTCTTATTTATTTACTAAAGAAAAACAATTATTATACCAATGCACACATACACCCGTAGCATTTTGAAAGGGATCCTACTTATAGCGAATCATGCAATGATTTTTATGCTCATCAGGCAACAGTTGTAGTTAGGTGAACTTTAAAAATCAAAGCAATCTGGACGATTGAATTATAAAATTGATCAAAATACTGTAATGCCAGCAACTTGATTTTTATAGCATGAGAAGAAGTGGTGATTTCGTTAACCAATAATTGTAAGTTTTCCTTTTTAATTTCACTATTTATGTTCTTTTGTAAATAACTCACTTGTGTACTATGTCTGAATGTTTATATTGTATAGACTTATTAGCTGTAAAGCTTAAGGTGTTAATAAAGTGAAGTAAATTGAAAGCTTAATAGCAAGAAAAGCCACAAAACTATATGGTAAAAAAATTTATCGTGATCAATTTTGAGATAGGAAGAGTCGATTAACAAAATAAAATCTCAAAGTGAAATCAATGAAATAAAAATTTTGATTGTGCTCATCAGAACTCGTTTTTAATTTCACATAACTTTTGGATTCATTCAGAAAGATGGTCAAAAAATGCTGGCTATGAATTTTGGTCATGATTCCATTTGTAATGTTTTTTTCAAACCTTAATCTTAATTTATTTGTGAGACGTTTTTGAAGCCTTTGTTATGCATGTTTATGTATTTTCTTCATTTCAAAATGTATAAAGCATACATGTTAATCCTATTGCATTTTTAATGTTTTTACTTCAAACTTAATATATTTGTAAAATGTAATAGCTAATAAAAATGCATTTCTCCTAACATCTTTTAATTTTTTCATGTCTGCAAGAAAGTCAACATTTATAGTAAATATTACATACCAAATTCCATATCATACGACATATTAAGTCAAATATCGCAACGTCAGCACGAAGGTCATGGGCATGTACTGGAACATTTGGAAATATGCAAGTAATGTATTTCCATCTTTAAAAACCAATACATATATTGATTGAATGAAAATGACGGGGTTCAATTCCACACGGACGTCTGAGAAAACATTTGAAATTTATTTTTAAATTATTTACAATTCACCTCAGCTAGACTCATAACCAGATCCTTGCGAATTGATCCAATAGAAAAAAAGATTTTGGAATCATTTAATAATTATATAAAATTTTAAAATTTGTGTTCATTATTATTAAAGATATGAAAAGGGAATGGTCATTAAATTCTTAATTCTGGGTAGGACTAAAGATCTTTGAAATTAATGAGAATGTTTTATTTGATTTGCACAACCCCTTGCAGTGAAAATATATCAACCGCTATTGTATATGTTACGTAAAAAAATCATAAAATGTGTACGTGTATTTTTTTAAAATAAATCGACCGAACACGCTTTAATTTCGATTTGAAATGCTACAGCAGCATAGAAATCAAGATATTTTACAAAATTATTTGAAGCATATTCAAACATATGATCATGCCCCTTTAAAACCATGGGTTAGCACAAACGTACGGTACTTACTTACATTTTGCAGTTTATAAATCGTTCCCTTTGTTTATCTCGAAGCCTACTTTTGGATGACACTCATCAAAAGTCATTATGATAGTAACTGTAAACGAATCATCATGCCTTTAACCCAAATGCGTAGGAAAAGAACCTTGACCTTTTATACATGTATGAAAGTGCATATAAAGGTAATGCAATCTTACGGCACATCTATTTAAATTTCATGGTGCAGGAAACAAAATATCATAAAACAGACCTTTTGATTTTGTTCACCGACAGTTTGTTTATTCTTGGGTTAGGTATAACAGTATATATTTCTGTGGATAATATGTAAAATGTTCCAAGAATTTGGTTTTGAAACTTTGCTTTTTAAGACAGGTGACAGTACTCCTTACTAAAAATGTTATATTGGATTCGGCTTTCTTTCCTCGCAAAAATTGTAATTTTTTTATATTTCATGTCCATAATCAAAGATTTCCAATATAAAACCTAAACATACATCACCTTCAAACATTTTATGTGTCCTTCAGGGATATATGATGCGGTCTTTTGTTTAGACCATTTCGCAATTTCAGATCATTGTTAGCAACATATTCAGGTTTGAATTCATATCAGTCAAAAGTTTTAAATGTAAAAACTGGAGAAAACATGTTTACAAACAATTTTCCTCGTCAAATCTGTAAAACTGGTATGACAAAAACACAGTAAACATTTTTTAAAATGTTACAGAAACAGTAACAGTTCAGGTCAAATTATTCTTCATCATCAGGAAGCAAACATAAAACATAGTTAATTAAATTAATCACGTATAAAAATTCACCAATAAACAATGGCGTCCCTGCGCAGCAGACGATAACAATCTCTAATTTAGACCAAGGGACAGAAAACTTTAATCAATCGTTCTCAGTTTACTATATAAACTAAAATGTTTTCCCAGCTATTAATAATATTCATTATAATTTTCCCACTTCTTAAAAAAATATACAAGGTTATTTTATTTAATTTTTGACGGATGCAGAATTTTCCAAAGAGTAATCTCCCGTTTCCTTCGAAAATTTTATCTTGGAGTTGGCGCTGAAGAATTGTTAAAAGATCTGAAAATAAAATTTTAAAAAGCTTATCAAATATGAAACTTTTTAAAATATCAGCATGATATTTTTAAAATTGTTTTCAAAAGAAGATTCGTACGTCACATGATTGTACAGCATGAATGAAATTGCAGACTGTCAGATATTGAAATCTGTATCACGTACAATATACAGCTATCACGTGACATTAAACTTGACTTTCTCTCATTTTTGAATCTTTAATGAATTTATAACAGTTTATGTGACCACTTTTCATCACATAGTTTCATAAGCTTGATTAAGCTTGAAGTTTGATAAGCTGGGAAACAAGGGCTATTCGAGACACTGCATTATAAATGAATGGTAAAGAATCAGAAATCAGTAAACTAGAGTGAAAATAAAAGCTTCATTACAGCTGCTGTAAAACTTGATAAAAATCACAAAGAAATATTCACTGAAATATGTGACATTTACAACAACCGATGCCTGTTTTATAGACAAATGAGCAGGTGGATTTCAATGTTTAAAAATCATATAATGGACATCAAAAATGGGTACCGTCCTTGCCAACAAAAATTATATCAACTTATGTACTGTTTGCCGAATTTCAACAAATAATATTTGATGATGTATGATTGAATTTCACATAGCAAATTTGATATACATCATATCGGGAGTAGTTTACATTGTTTTTAAGAATCGTTTGACGGTAAAAAAAAAAAAGTTTGCTACTCAAAGGTCACCCTATATTTTGAAATTGAGTGAAAACGACAGCGTGTATGAAAGTCTTAACAATTATTTTAAAATATCGGTAATTGTAGTTATCCATGTTTGTTTTATATTCAAACAGATATTGGAACATGAAACTATTGCTTAAAACCCTCAAAACAAAATTTACCATAAGATGTACTTGATATAAACGGCGAAGGTCTGACAAGAGCAAAGGAATGCAAGAGCAGAAAGACAAATTTATATGCAATTTTCTTAAATAATGGTGGCATTGTTGTTCAAATTCGTAATCGGGGAAACAGTTTAATTTCTGGAGGAGTCTAGAAAGCAATTTTTTTTGGAAAAAAATCGAAAGGTTTATTAGAGGAAGGACCCAGAATCGGGAATCCACTATATTGAATTTCTCCATGACAGCTTTCAAATCCGCATGCCCTGAAGAATAAAGGGGTTTTCGGGATAAACAGAAAGTTAATGTTTTCACATTACCAATTTTCGCAAGATCTTTGACCTTTTGACTTGCTTCTATTTCCTAACCTGAAAAAAAAACCTTTCAGAAGGAAGAAACAAGTCAAGGAAATCATTGGATCTGCCAATTTCCAGTATACTAAGGGTCATATCCCAAAGCTCTAAAAACAATCAGAAATTGGATAGAAAATGTGTTTGAATTAAAAGAGATTAATAAGTAAAATCATGAAGACTAAATCATTTAAAAGCGTCTTTTGCTTCTTTATGAGCACCGAGGACATTATTTATTGAACAGCCCTCGTAAGTCTAATTTAAATAAGATAAATCAAAGAATTGATTAAAAGAAAATGAGACCAACCTACAGTTTTAAATCAAGACAAAAGAAATAGACTTATCAGAGTAGAGTTAGAAAATTATGAAATTGTCAAAAATAATTCTAATTCAAAATATCAAATGAAAATCTATTTATTTATGAGAGAGAGAGAGAGAGAGAGGTTTTTTTACTTAGACAAATTTCAATACCCAGGTCAAAAAAGAGAATCATATATGTGAATTGCTTGTCTACCCTTGTATATTTATAAGAATAATCTACAATCATCCCCTTGTTAGTTTTATAATACAATATTAATCCAAATAACGAATCTGAGATGTATTTGTATTACGTTCTTGTATTACGTGACCTAAGAATGAAAAAGTCATGGTAATCATGAAACAACAAAACCTAAAATCAATTTTTAAGTAGAATAATCAATTAAAAATTTTTAACCTGTTTTTAGCTAGAGTTTTGTTTCGTTATTTCATCTAGTATCCGAGAGACGTTTAATAAAAATGTCATCGGTGTTTGGAAAGAAACAACAAACGCTTTTCTATGATCAAGTCTTAAAGATTAAAGTAAAATATTGTCTTTTGATCAAAAGTTTAAAACACATGTCCGTAAAATATTTATTCAATTTCTAATTGTTTTAGAACAGATTTTTGAGTATGACCCTTCGTATACTGGAATATGACAGATCCTATGATTTCCTGTGCTTGTTTTTTTTTTCTTTTTGAAAGGTATTTTTTCAAGTTTGGGAAATGAAGCCAGTCAAAGATTGAAAGAGCTGGGCATTATTGTTGTTGCGACCAAACATTCACTAATTTTTATCCCCAGAAATTCTTTACGCTTTATGGCCTGTAGATTTGGACGCTGTCATGAAGAAATTAAATGTAGTGAATTCCTCATTGTGGCTCCTTCGTCTCATAAATTTTTCACTTTTAAGCAAAAAAATTCTTTCAAGACTCTTCCAGAAAATGACATTACTTCCCCAATAAGAATTTGAACAACAAGACCACTAATTTAAAAAAAAGATGGCAAGTTAAACTATTTTTGTGCTCATACAATTCTTTGCTTTCTTCAGGCTTCCGCTGTTTTGTCAAGTGTATCTCTTTGTAAATTTGTTTTGAGGGTGTAAAGCAAAATGGATTTAAGTTTCATTATCTGTTTTAATTTCTGACAAACATGGATAATTAATTTTTTTTATTTTTTACAATAATTGTTTAGATATTCCTACACGCTGTCGTTTTCACTCATTTTCCAAAATATTGGGTGACCTATGAGCATTAAACATGTTTCTTTAAAACAGTGTTACACACATGAGCAGATGGATTTAAATGAACAAAAATGATATAATGGGCAACAAAAATGGGTACCATCCTTGGCGACAAGGACATACAACAAACATTGCTCGCTGTAAATTTCACATATTTCAGTTAATATATCTTTACGATTCTTAACAAGTTTTACAGCAGCTTTAATGGAGCTTTTTAATTTCACTCTAGTTTACTGATTCTTGATTACTCATTTTAAATGCAGTGTCTCGAATGACCCTTGTTTTCCAGCTTCTCACAATGGAACTATGTGATGAAAAGTGGGCAAATAAACTGTTATTAATTCATTAAAGATTCAATAATTAGAGAAAGTCAATCTTAATGGCATATGATTTCTATGTTGTGTGTTATCGAGCTGATGACATTATTCATTGAACATCGCTAGTAAGCGGCATAAGGTCACCTTGTCAAAAATGCACTATTTGGATAACCCACAGTAATTAATGTCATTAAAGATTGAAAAAAAGCTCAGAAAAGTTGTTACCATTGTTTGGGATCAACTTTTGATGCCTGTCGTGCATCACAAAAGATGACGAGGGCAAAGACAATTACAATAAGCTGCAAAAATAAAATTAAAGATTAACTGTTACATTTTATGGTTTTAAAAATTATCATAACAAGACAACTTTAAATCATTATTTAACATTCATCTATAGATACATGTTTATTACTTTTTTAAGTACTATTTGAAAAAAGAAACATGTATATACTGTTATTACTTTGTAATATGTAATGTAATATTAAAATAAAGTACATTCACATTCACTAATTCATGTGTTGAAATAGTGATCATTTTTATTTCAGGCTGTCTAACTCTTCATTTGATGAAAAATAAATAAACAATATTTAAAAGTTAAATAGAAATTTTAGTGCATTTGCATCAAATGGATTCATCGATGTTATAAAAGCAATGATAAATGACAAGAAAAATTATTGTCATCAAAATGAAGATCTAGGCATCTCAAAATGAACCTCGTGCTGCAATTTTACCCTGGATCTTTGTCACGTGAGAATGCCCAAGGTTTCTGCAAAGTAGGCTATGCTGCGAGTTGCGGTGCAAAATGTAGGAAAAGAATTACATCCTCGTTTAATTGCAGCTGTAGCATTTTCAAACCGTTTTTACTTATTGAACAACTTTTTTCAATTTTATTCACCATGCACTTTAAACACGTCATTATTATCCGGAAAATCATGACAATTTCCTTTCATACCTTACACACTCCAAGGCTAGGGAGAACCTATTGTCAACTCTTTTTGTTTAATCATAAATAATCAATTATTTGATGAGAAATGATAATGAAATTGAAATTTGATAACTATAATTAATACATGTACTTAGTTTAAAGCAAGTATTTAAAACATTTTACTCATGACTTTATGCATGCTATCATTCAAAAATCATTTTACCGAACTAAATAATGTCTCATTGCCCCATGTGCAGATCGGCCGCTGCTGCAACTGATAATTATATACATACAGATCACGTGATATCTATAGTGTTGGTTTGATGACGCATTCCCTATGTATAGAAAGGGAATATATTTATATTGGGCTTTCCTTAGTTTTACCTGGAAGACTCCGCATCCAGCAATGGAACCTGTCACCAAATCCAGCAGCATACCATACACTTCATCAAAACACCCCTGTAATAAAGTGAAATATCCATCTTATGACTCTATAAGGAGACTGAAGACAACCTCTTTAAAGAAAAATAGATTAGGTTTTTTTTCACCTCTACGTGATGTTTTTGTAGTTTTGGGGAGTTGAACTATGTTCAGGCTCCCTAGGTTGTCACGCGATTTCTAGAGCAGTAATTTTACAATGAATTATATAGCGGCTGTCGTGGTGTTTCTGTGTCGGCCAATTTACTCCTCTGTGATATTCAATACAAACTCGCACCAGTCTATATAAACTCGAAGAAACTCCCGCAATAAAAATAGTCCATCTCAATTTTTCTGAATTAATCTAATTTTCATAAATGATTTGAAAGCAAATTAAAAGGATTTTATTTAACTTAATTTGAACAGCATATTTTTGTCATCTCTCTTGAGAAGTGACACGTAAATTTTGATTTCCGTATGAAAAAAAGTCCCATCATTTATCATTCGGCAATCCTCGGCTGACTCCACTATGCTCCATTACAAAAAGTGCGAGGTCATCAAAGGAGCAACAACTGGTCTAACTGGTTTGACAATGACGCGATTGTCTAAATATAGAGATGTAAACAAAGATGTAAGGTCAAAGGAACGCTAAGGTTTAACCGAACTTCTTTCAATTTGTTTCAGCAATAAAGAGACAGAACAACGTTACTTTTTAAAAAAAATACTATGGAAAATATCACTGTCAGACATTTATTTGCTCTGACAAGTAAAATGATCTGTTAGACTGGAAAATTTTTGTCAGACTAGATACATGCAACTCATTCTTTTACGATGGTAAAGGGAAAAATAATAGCATTAAAGTTTGTTGATATTCGATTCCACAATTTCAAATGACATTAATTTTACATCCTTTATTTCATGAGTTTATCAGCAATCAGTTGGTCCCTGTAAAACACCAAATCTGAACTTGAAAAATGTATATGTACTTGCATTGCAGTATTTCCTCATAAAATGTATCATTTGATTTTATTATATAATTAAAACACTTAAAATTAATAAATACATGCGTATGCACGGACACAATGGTATAATAATCCCAATGATCGATCTGTGAGAAAGATCGTACCTCATGATTACAACTGTTTTTTTTTTCTTGTAATAGCTCGTTAAACTATGTCTGATTTTTAATTACATTTGAATCAAATCAAAATCACAAACTTTAAGTGCCACTCGCGTGGCGCAGTTGTTAAAAGAGTTTGCTCTACAGATTCAAAGTATAAGGCGTTAATTGATCCTTACGTCGCAGGTTCGAATCCTGTGGGATGCATTTGGAGATAAACTCTTTGGATGAAACCATATAAACCGAAATCCCATGTCGCAATATGTGCTTGCAAAAAACGATCCCTCACCACTCAATGGAAGTGCCGTGTATAGGTAATAATTTGTAAACTAGCTCCATCGACGAGTGGTAGTGTCTCAATATATTTGAAAAATTATCGAACGCAAAACAAACAAAATGTAAAGTATTCAGATACTTACTTCTATAAAGAAATTACTTGAAATGAAATTTAAAATTAGGGAATAACAAAACTTGATGATTAAGTTATAAAGATAGATACATTTGATAAAATAGATAAGCACGGAGTTCTATAAAAATTAATTATCATGTCCGAAAGAGAATAGCAAATACTCATTTTAATCAGAGGAAGAAAAATGACAATCTAGTGTCTGGTGATGGTAACATCGAATATAAAGAGTGTTTGTTTGTTTGTTTCTTGGGACCAAATATCTTGTACACATTCTAAAGAGAGTAGGGGGCATTTGGATTCATATAAAGGTAGTGTTTGAGTTTTAGTAAGAAATGGCACTGAAAGAAGTTTGAAAGTTACCCACAAAATAGTATTTTCAAATTTGGCATTTTTTTTGGTGGTGGGGGTTGTTTGTTTGGTTTGGTCAAATTGTTCAGGTAAGAATTAGAAAGAATAAATCCAGAACTAAACTTAACTGTTCGTGCGCAATAAATTACAGTTTTTTTTCAATGGATGGCGCTGTAGCTCTCCGGTCTGTCAAAATCTTTTTTCGGACAGCTACAGTTCTGCAGCTAATTTAAAAGCAGTCCCATGATCTTGGCTATTCAAATGCAATAGAAATTATTTTTAATTTTTCGTGTTGTATCTCTAACAAATCAGTTCTAGCTGACTTGAATCTGAAAGCATGAAACTGTTCCTATACTTCCCGTGAGATCTTTCAGATAACAATTTTCAACTCCCATGAGTACTTTCAGTACTTTGATTTAACGATTGACTTCCAGTACACTTGTATACATGTAGTAAGCTATAATTTAAACGTCATAGCTAACCTTAGTGTATATATCTTGTGGTGACAGTGCACACGTTGGTGTCGATGCCTGTGGAATTGTTATGCAACACGTTATTGGAGCTTCTAAAGCTTTTGTACCAACGTAGTAATTTGTGCTCCATTGTACCGCTCCAGTAAAATCAGAGTAATTATCCACTCCACAACATTCAAACTATGGGAATTATAAAAAAAAGATTGTTATTACTATTTTCAGCTTTGTTTCTATCTGAATATCATAACTCTTACCTAGTGTGAAGCCATAGCTTCTCTTTATGTGGAAACAATTTTCTTTATTAGGAAAAATCTCATTTTTTTACTTTAAAAATAATTTTATTTTGAATTTAAAAGTTATTTTTTGCTGTTAAATATACATAGAGGATAGAATATGAAGTCTTTTTAAAGTTCAGTGTGAATGTATTCGAATATCCTGACTATGGTCATTATTTGGGTTGTTCAATGTACATGCAGAAAGACAATCTACGAATTGAATTCGATGTACATGATACAAGAGATATTAACATTTGCTTTACCTGTCTATGAGCAAAATTCCAGCCCAGACTGACGATATTTGTTCCATTAAACCCCATGTAATCGCTCTGAATAGACGTTTTCAACGGATTCTTTATTTCATCTTTTATCTGTAAAATATTTTGAAGAGGAATATAATTTATTTTGTCAATTTTGAACGGAAATATTAAAATGAAAAATCTAAAATGACAATACTGAAAATAATATATTGAAGATAAAAAATTCTTCGCAAGACTTTTTTCCATACCGTGTCTGGTGAACCGTAGAGGATTCCAACGAAAATGAGTTCTCCGACGAGAACAACGATGACGATGACTGCATAAGTAATCAACGTATATTTGACTTTACAACAGGCTCCGCAACAGCCCAGAATCGTAATGATCAAAAGAAAGAGGCATAGACCAATAAAAAAATACCCTATTTCACCAATCAAATCACTGAGTTTGAAGGAAGAAACATCCACAGTCCCAAAGTAATTTTTCTCCAATTCACTTTGTAACGTAGCCAAAGTAGTTTTATAATAAGATTCCAGTAAACTTTCTCCCACTAAACATATCAATCCAATAGCGAGAAACACCAGGCCAAGAATCTGCAAAAAGAACACTTAATATAATTTTCATATTTTAAAAAATTACTGTTATGTCGAAAATTCATATTCTAAAAATGCATCAGTTGTTTTACCAAAATGTAACATTTTTTTCTCTCATTCTATGTTCATTATTTGACATAATCTGACATTTATCATTGCTCGTGTATTGTAAATTAGATTGCGTCAAACTTAAGATTATTATTCAATATATCTTCCGCATTTCACAACGGTCTTCATAGACGTACTATATAAGTCTACAAACTTAACATTGGGTAACGGGATTTGTCACTCCACTTACATTTAGATTCACCATAAGCATAATAAAGCACATACTTATGTACTTAGTATCAGGGAGTCAAGTGGGACCGCTCTTATTTCCAAACATAACATTAAAATGTCCATTTTAAAAAGGGTTCCCCTGTTTTGTCAGAAAATGACTAAAAAATTGCTACTAATGTAGTACTAAAGAAATAATTTTTTGTTTTGAATTAATATGGACCCTCTACCCTAACCACATTAATAAACGTCTAAAAAATATGTTGTATATTTCGATTTTGGAATTTTTTTGGGGGTTACTCCTTTTTTTTCTTTTTAATTTCTTAGCTAAGAAATTTTTTGCACCCCTTTTTCAAATACGATACTACGTGTCTATATAGAAAATATTGTACTTGATCGAAACATTGAAATATTTTTGTTTAAAAGTTTTGGATGACTACACATATATAATAAAATTACTCACCAGAAATAAAATGTTTATAAGAACAATAATAATACGTCCTAGCGGCACCAGGCAACTCATTGTTACGAGCTGTTCTCTTGCCATCCTGAAAAGAAACTAAGTAAAGGTACAGAAAACAAAGCACAGCTCCTCCTTCTATTTACGTATAATCCGAATGAGGACCTAAAGATAATAGGTAATGTAATCTCTTTATTACACATTTAATACTGAATTTATTTCAGAACATTATAGATTTATCATACTTTAATCCATTAACTATTTATGTGAGTTGTGAGGACAATGTTTCGTCAAGCTTTAAACAACTTGTTGATTGAATATTGAAACACGATAACTGTTTTATCCCGGTAAGAAAGATGCTTCAGCTAGTGTCCATATTGATAATGTATATTGCAATGTGTGGATGCCCTCAAATACCAGGGCAATGATCGATGGTTTTGGTTCTTTTTTTTAAAAAGGCAAGACCATTGATGAAAAAACAGACTACGTGTATATTCTTGCATCGAAAATATAAGATATATTTGAAGATATATTTGAACATTTTTTTAAAAATGCAAAATTGTCTATGTGAATATAGAGGTTTTCTAGAGGGCATTTTTGTCGCATATATCTCATGGTTTACTTTTAATTAACCCTACACAATTTATTTATTTTCGATGAAAGGTGTGTGGCTTTTCCAAAACAAAAAAGGACCGAATTTCAAAAAATTATTACGCGTTTTAGCTGTTTAAGGTTAAATATAAAATATTTAACTGATCTTTTTTGTGCAGGAAAATAGGGAGTGTCAAGTCACCTCCTTTTAAATCCTAATACTGTTTTCTTTGTTTAACGTTTCTCTTCGATATAGTGTGATGCACACCTCCGCTCAAATTCGAAGAACCCGATGATTATATATAATTTTCCATAAATGCCATCATTAAAATTAAACTTCATGTTTTGAAGAAGATATTGAAATTAAAACTAGAGAAACACTGACAATATACCGGATAAAAAATAAATGTGTGCTCTGTAGAGAATTAATTTTCATATTATTTGACATGACTGGCAATTCTTTCAATGCAAGTTTTGTGGCAAATTAATTTTAAAAAATAATAAAGCATAGTTTTACAATATAGTAACCAAAGCAGAAAGCTATAGTTCATGATATCAATTTTAATGTAATTTTTAAACAAGTTTTAATTTTCATAAACACTTGAGACTGTTGACCGATGAAGAATAAATTTTATTGTAAAAAAGGTTATTGTTACATGTATGGGCTGATACTCTAGAAACAATCGAAAGAGTTGAAAATTATAAAGACTTTACTTGTAATTGAATATACTCTGAAGTTCTATTTTCTAGGGCACGCCAAATTCACAAATATGAGCTAAGCAGAGTTTCACAGTTGATAAACTAGGTTTGTCGGTTGTAAATGATAGTTTACGGGGTTCATTCTACCTATTCCCACTTTTTGAAAATCATGTAGAAAAAGGTAAGATTTTATGTGGGAATAGGTGGAATTTTTGTGTAAACAAATAATTAACTATATTTTTACATTAAGCTATTAATAAGTTGCTTTTTCTTGTAAGACCTTTTTATTATTTCAAAAATCCGAAATAAATCTTATTTTCTCATAGATGTATTCATTATTTTCTGTCTTAAAATGTACAGAATACAGGTAAATCTAAACATCTATTGTTATTTGCAAGTGGGAATAGTGGAATTGAGATTTTTAAAAAGTGGGAATAAGTAGAAGACACCGTTTACGGACCTATCTAATTCTGACAGAATTCAAATTACACCCGCAATTATCGGTAAATACTCATTATCAGCTGTTCATGTTTGGCTTCCCGAGGATACGAGGTCACGTGCCAGACGGAAGTCATGTGACAAAAAAGACAAAATGGCCGCTGAAAACAGGCATGTTGAGCGCACAGGACCTAAAAGGTATCACACCAGTAATTGACCAATCAAAATGAACTTATTCAAATGTAGGTCCATACAAACTGGCATAATTTACGTTCCGGGTAACTTAGCGTTCCGGAACGCTAAATACCTATAATATTCGTTCCGGGCTATAATAAACGTTCCGGCCCGCGTAAGTTTGGTTCCGGCCATAATAAACGCTCCAGGCTTCCCAACATCCTTTTTAAAACTGTATTTAAAATTAATATTTTGATTTTTTTCTTTTCTTAAAGGTTATATATGATAACAAAGGATTTATAAACGTAACACATACAGATATTTAGATTTAGAAGTCCAAATATACGGTCTTTTAACATATTTATTTATGTTTCTACTTGTACTAAAACATTATTCATGGAATTCCTGTTGATTATTTTGTTTCTTTGTAAACAAAAGAAGGTGTGAAACTTGTTTTCATTGATATACCCCATCATGTTGTTTTACGGCACCCTTCTATCGATTCAAATAAACAGTCAAGTGAATCGCAGTAAGCACACAGTCATGTAATTTCCAATTGTAAATGAAAGAATTTTAGGCAAATGATAACCTAATCAGCTGATAATTATCATAGATAAATTATATTTACCAATTAAAAAAAATCATTTGGTAATATTTTGATTTCCTTACATTCTTTAAACAGCTATTGTGTTTTTGTGAAGCCAAATTACATGTTCTATATAGTAGTAAATAAAACAGAGTACACGAACATAATAGGAAACGTGTGGATGAAGGATGTAAAAGGTGTTATTAGACGGCATATCAGCGGGGAAATTATATATATATATATAAAACATTCAATATGAAGAAATTGAGTTTCGTGTAATAAATTAATTCATAAACATTTCTGTGGATATATTTTTTTTGGGTCAGGTAAAGGGGGAGGGGAGATTACTTCAACTACAGCTATTTTGTTTAAACTTCTTGAACATGCGCCTGGGGAGACACAATATTTAATTAGAACCAGATATGTTTTGACGAAAGTATTGATAGTTCTGTAAGTGATCATTCAAAATATCAAGTTTATAATGTTAACTGAAAACCAGAAAAGGACCGCTACACAAAAAAGTATGAGGTAATAATTAGACAAAAGTATAGAAAAAAATCAGGACTCTCATGTCAGCAAAAATAGTTGAAAATGCGTCCAGTAATGCTAACCCGGAACGTTAAATATGATCCTAATTTTGGTTTCGGGCTAACTTATCTTCGTCATAAAATGGAAAAGGAACTTCAAAATAGCCAAAATAGTTGAAAATGCACCCAGTAATGCTAACCCGGAACGTTAAATATGATCCTAATTTTGGTTCCGGGCTAACTTATCTTCGTCATAAAATGGAAAAGGAACTTCAAAATAGCCAAAATAGTTGAAAATGCACCCAGTAATGCTAACCCGGAACGTTAAATATGATCATAATTTTGGTTCCGGGCTAACTTATATATTCGTCATAAAAAGGAAAAGGAACTTCAAAGTAGCAAACATAGTTGAAAAGTAGCAAAAGAAGTTGAAAATTCACCCGCAGTAATGCTAACCCGGAACGTTAAAGATGATCATAATTTTGGTTCCGGGCTAACTTATCTTCGTCATAAAGTGGGAAGGGAACTTCAAAGTAGCACAAATATTTGAAAATGCGCCCAGTAATGCTAACCCGGAACGTTAAATATGATCATAATTTTGGTTCCGTGCTATCTTATCTTCGTCACAAAGTGGAGAAGAAACATCATAGTAGCAAAAATAGTTGAAAATTCACCCGCAGTAGTGCTAACCCGGAACGTTAAATATGATCATAATTTTGGTTTCGGGCTAACTTATCTTCGTCATAAAAAGGAAAAGGAACTTCAAAGTAGCAAAAATAGTTGAAAATACTCCCAGTAATGCTAAACCGGAACGATAAATATGATCATAACTTTGGTTCCAGTTAACTTCTTTTCGTCATAAAGTGGAAAAGAAACATCAAAGTAGCAAAAATAGTTGAAAATTCACCCAGTAATGTTAACCCGGAACGTTAAATTAGATCATAATTTTGTATCCGGGCTAACTTATCTTCGACACAAAGTGGAAAAGAAATTTCAAAATAGCAAAAGATTTTTAAAATAACTCTCAGTAATAGTAACCCAGAATTATGACCATAACTTTCTGGCCATAATTTGGGTTCCAGTCTGAGTTATCTTAGTCAAAGATCGGAAAAGACAGACAGACAGCCCGAAATACAGGTATACAGATGAAAAACCTTTGAGGTATAGGAAAGAAATTTTAAAAACTTCCTATGGCCTAAAGAAAGCCCTAAGGATTTTGAGGTCAAAGGTCAAGGTAATGATTTCATAAATTATGTCTAACATTTTCGTTTCCACGCGATATCCATGGAGAGAAGTCTTTGAGCGGAATTTTATACCACAACTCCCTATGTCCTAACATCGTTAATTCATATACATGTATTTGTATATTCTTTCTGGGTGTAAAACTTTCATTTCTGGCCATGGACGATATCTCAAGAAGCATTTACGATTTTGCAATGAAATATACCATAACTCCCTAACGCACACCCGTCTTAACCCCCCCCCTTTTAGGTTCGTGCATGCTCTTCTTTTCCCTAATGCGGGGGACATAGATTCCCTGAATTAGCTTGTTTTATAACTCATGTTTGAATTACCTTGGGTATTATTGAGAACATTTTAAAACATTCTTTCTGTACACTTGTATTTCCATGTTAGCATCTGTTTTCCCAAAAATCACTCCCCTTAGACACTTGTTTCCGCTATCCCAGTTGGTTCAATGGATCCATTTTGTTCTGCATGTATAATATTTTAATTAAAAAATACAATTTTATTCCCTATAAATTCTGGTCCCGTCTTACCTTCAATTGCCACGATTTGTGCAAACTAGCATCTACAATATGCCAGAATCCTGCAACGTAATTTTCTTCTTTTCTATAACAGTGATGCTCCAGAAAATAATAAATAGAACTCTATTCCATTTTTTGCAAAATAATTAAAAATTAAATAAAACTTTTACATTTTTGAAACTGTTATAATTGAAACTCCCCCATAACAAAGTGAGGAAATATTGATAAACAACTTTCATTTCCATTTTCTTTTAAATTGGAGAAGGGGTGAGATTTTTAAAACACGTA